CAACCCCCACCCCCCTCAACCAATTTCCATCCACTCTCCCAAAAGTAGGGAACAGTAGTACTACTATGTCAGTTCAAATGTCGTGTATGTTTATAGTACTTTTTGTACTGAAAAGGAATTCTACTCAAGACGAGGTATTTGTCGAGTAGCAGTCTCAGTTGTTTCCAAAGACGATTGATAGAAATGGGCAAAAAGATGAAAGTTAAAGGAGAGAAATGAATGTCATGATTTGATCTTCCTTCAGATTGACCCTCTTCTACACTCCCTAATAATAATCGTAATGAAAAAGAATTAGGCTTAAAAATGAGAAGTTAGCTTCCGTGAGGTTGGAAAAAAAGATCTTCCATTCTTGAAGAAGGAAAAATCATAGCACCCCACCCATACCACCTTAAGCCCGAGCCGTTTGCTATTCGTGATTATATCAAAGTGCATAAAAGAATCTTGAAGTCACCTCGTTGTTATTTTGTATACCATACCCAGGTGTTCTTAAAAGTGAGTTTAAACAGAAAGACAAATACAGATATAATCATTCGTTTTTTTTGTTTTTTTTTGTTTTTTTCTTATGAATATATGAAAGTTTATTCCTCGGTCAAAGATGAAACTGAAGCTCCAGCTGAAAATCATCTGTTTCACAGTTACCCACAATGATTTTGACAAACTGTAGCTAAAACCTATCTTACTACATAATTATTTTACGTCATTGTGCCTTGAAATTAACTAAAATACAGTCCCCCCCCCCTACACTTTGCCTTATCTAATAAGTGCGATATTAAAATTCAGAGTGTAACTTAATGCAAAACCAAAGCCAAACTCTAAAATGTTATTTTGGTACCGAGATTTTTACCATGAATTTTTAACATTTTAATATAAGCATAGACCAAAATCAAGCCGTAGTGTGATCTGTTGTGAATATGACTAATTTATGTTTGGCGCACTGGTATGACCGTATGCAGTTGTTAGTGCCATAAAACTCTTACTAAACTAAAACTGTTTAATATGTCTTTTTTAATGCCCTTTGCGTTATTTAAAATACACGTCTTAATGAAGAGAACACATTACCTGGCGAACGTGTTTAATTAGGCGGGTTAATAATACTCTACGTACACCCAAAAGGGGGGTGGGGTGGGGGAGGGGGAGGGGTGGGGGAGGGGGAGGGGGGGCTATAGCAGTGGTTGCACTGAGATCAGGTTCAGAGATCTAAACAGTATCCTTTTTTTTCGAAGGCCGAGCCATATTTCAGAAATGATTTTTTCTTTATTTTTAGAAAGGGTATTCACGGCAGTTGCAATACAACAAGGCCTTAAGTGCCGAAGATAAGAGGTATTACAAGAGAGTAACGAACACACACTAAAAAAAGTGAGGAGAGATTAAGACAATTAAATAGATGTTTGATAGGAAAGAAGGAGCATCAAAGTACCCGCCAACTATGCCCACTTTCAGAGATCAAAAAGCTCTTGTATGCAATTCAGAATAGAAACTGCAATTTAAAAACTGACATATTTCAGTCCTTTATTGTTGTGCTCCTTTTAGAATGCAAAGAGGTGCGTACGATTTTAAAAGTCCAATTTAATTTGTAACCCTTACCACATCGATTAAAAAAACCAACAACAACAAAACAACTGTAACTATACAATATACAGAAATTATTGATTTTATTTTAATCGTCTCGGGCCCGAAATCAAATTTAGTACAATTTGTGTTATGCATCACGTCATTGTACAGATCCAAAATGTTTCTTTACTGAATAAATTTTTTTATTTTAATTTTGATGTTTTCACACCCCCATCGGCTCACTTTAGATCATTTAAGAGATGGGCTACCGACCCTACCTGTAAGGGCCAACCCAGGCAGAGAATACATGTCAGCAGAAAGACTGAGACATAATTTACTAAAACATTTCTCCCGACTAGGGAATCAAACTTGGGTGTCCTATGGTAACACAACAGATGTCTGTAGTCTTAAGCTTACAATAGTAGGATCTTAAAAGGACCTGCAAAAGGATATAGTTTCCTGTACTGTGGAGTAAATAAATAGATGAACAATAAATAAAGAAAGAAAGAAAGAAAGAAAGAAAGAAAGAAAGAAAGAAAGAAAGAAAGAAAGAAAGAAAGAAAGAAGAAGAAGAAGAAGAAGAAGAATAGATAATAATAATAATAATAATAATAATAATAATAATAATAAATTTAAAAACGACGGGGGGGGGGGGGGGGGGGGGGGGTGGAGGCTCCTGTGGTGTAAGAGATTACGGTGGTCGCCTCTCATTTAATAGGTTTTGGGTTCAAAACCTGACAGCGATGGAACATTTTCTTCTCTAAAATTTTCACCTTTTGACTCATTTCCTGCTCTTTAACAATGTTCTGTCTTTTACCTTCGTCTCCAGTTTCAATTAATCAATAAATCAAACAATATCATCCAAATTATTGTTAGCAATATTTCAGTGTTTTTCGTTTTGTGTTGTTTTTGTTTTTGTTATTTTTGTTGGTTTGTTTTGGAGGGGAAAGAAAGTAAAAAAAGTGGGTTTTTTATAGATTGGTAACCAGCCACGAAATAGAACCCGGTTGTCTGAAACATTTCTCCTACTTTCACTTTAGACGAGATTTTTTGGCAAGGGGCAAAATAGATGAAAATAATATGCCGATAGCTCTATGTACTATTTGTTTACCTCTCTATGTAAGGAGAATATTAGCAATTTTGGTGTATAGCAGATGCAGTAAATATTGGGCATGGGACGTCATTTTCTACACATAAGAATACATACGTACATGTATATACAATGTAGTAATATGATACACATAACAATTCCTCAATTTTGGAATGAGTTAATAATGTATAATATGAAAACAGATTAAATTCATCATTTTGTTTTCAGGATTGAGCTAAGTGAAGGAGGGAGAAAAAAAAGTATGCTTGAAGAATCCCCCCCCCCCTCCCAAACCCTTCTTTAAAAAAAACAACAACAAAATCAAAAACAAAACAAACCCCAAACAAACGATGCCATCCAAAGCAAAAAGAAAAAAAATGGATACAAATGAACTGACAGGTGTTTGGAAGAAAATACAAGTAAAGAATTGTGAAATAAGACAATCAGTTACAAACGAGAACAAATATATGAATCAGTTGGATACATAAACAAATTAAAGGATCCAAACAAAAAGATTTCAGCAGGTTGTTCAATTTTTCTAAACCCTGAGAGTACATTTTTCAAGATAAAAGGAAAACCCCCCCCCCCCCCACCGGTTTCATTCTTTAGCCTAGAGAATTGCACCTTCATTATGAATTTAAAATTTCAATTTCAACAAAATATTTATCACGCACACATGGCCTATACTAAAGAGCAACCAACATTTTGGGCATATTACCTCTGAATAGTTCACCAATAATAATTTTTATCTTCTTGCATATAATCCAAAACATTGTAATTGCATGCAGAATCCTGTTTCATTAAATTAAACATCAATGCCAAATTCTAATGCCAACCAAAAGAAGTTTTAAGGTTATCTCGAAAGCAGAACAACAGATTTCAAGCTAGTACTAGTACTACAGGACATAGAACTGAGTGGAAAAGCGTTGCCTTTCGAACCCCCCCCCAAAAAAAAAAAAAAAAAAATCGGCAGTAGATCTACTTGGAATTAAAATAAAATCCTTTGAGAAAAATATAGGTCCTATCATTTTCTATAAACTGCCCAACAGTGACATGATAATATGGTCTCATTTCAACAGCATTCTTAAGACATCAAAGGGTCTTTCAGATCTCCCGCTCGCTCTCTTTCCTCTTCGAAAAAAGTACAGGATCAGCAAAATTTGTTCTTAAACAAGGTTCGTTATCATTAAAATACACAATACGATTAGTTATCGCTCTAAAAAAAGCCATTAGCAAAGTGCTTCACTGTCTCTATTATTTGACAAAAACATTAATAATAAACAGTATAGTATTTCTAATTAACTCGACAGTGCTGTCTGATGTTAGAAAGGGAAGTGTTTATTTTTAAGTTTTGCTTTTGCGTTGTTGTTTTTTGTGTAGCTTTTAAAAATATTGTAAAAAGTTAGTTAATCAGTCAGTCAGTCAGTCAGTCAGTCAGTCAGTCAGTCAGTCAGTCAGTCAGTCAGTCAGTCAGTCAGTCAGTCAGTCAGTCAGTCAGTCAGTCAGTCCGTTAGTTAGTTAGTTAGTTAGTTAGTTAGTTAGTTAGTTAGTTAGTTAGTTAGTTAGTTAGTTAGTTAGTTAGTTAGTTAGTTAGTTAGTTAGTTAGTTAGTTAGTTAGTGTGTTTGTTTGTTTGTTTGTTCGTTTGTTTATTTGTTTATTTGTTTGTTTGTTTGTTTATTTGTTTGTTTATTTGTCTGTTTGTTTGTTTGCGTGCTTGTTTGCTTGTTTTAACCAAATAGATGTGATATCTATGAGTTCATTCTACTAGCACGAGTGTTTGAAGACATACATTTTTTTAGTTGCGGTTTTCATATTATTCCAGGTCAGCTTCCAATAAAAAAAAGCACCCTCCCCCCTTTCGTCTTTGTATGATTATAGATTTTAGTTTCATTAGAATGAATACACCCCCCCCCCCACACACACACACACATACACACACAAACACTCGCACACACACATATATATATATATATACTCACTCATACACACAAACACACACACACACACACACACACACACACACACACTCACACTCACACAAACACACGTACAGCAGGGAGATAAAGAACAGAACAAGAGAGAGAGAGAGAGAGAGAGAGAGAGAGAGAGAGAGAGAGAGGGAGGGAGAGAGAGAATGAGAGAGAGAATGAGAGAGAGAATGAGAGAGAGAATGAGAGAGAGAATGAGAGAGAGAGAATGAGAGAGGGAGAGAGAGAGAGAGAGAGAAAGAGAGAGAGAGAGAGGGAGAGAGAGAGAGAGAGAGAGAGAGAGAGAGAGAGAGAGAGAGAGAGAGAGATACAAACACACATGTACATAAAGGCACACCTACACACAGAGGTATGTTCACACACAGACACACATATTATACACACACAAACACACACACAAACACACACAAACACACAAACACATACACCCGTCTCTCAACAACAAAATGGATATTAGAAAATTTATAAATCCTATGAAATGAGTGCAGATGTTTACAGTAGCAACATTACAATGGCTGAAATAGCTGAATGCTCCACTGTCTTAATTAAGGTTATAAAGATGAAGTATGAGCATAAGTGTATTTTTGATTAATGTTGTTTCATTTGACTACATAATGGAATATCTTATTAAATAATCTGACAAATCGCCGATATAAATCAGTGAGAACGTAAGAAATGTGTAAAAATACTCTACACCCAGTCAATACAGTTGTGATCATTTAAAAGGCAGGCTGCTCGGATTATATTTGCCAGGACCAGGTCAGTCTATATGAGAGACATCGTCATCAACATTTCAGCGAAATGACGGAGATGCGTGTACCCCATAAAATGTCTTCCCAGTGTGGATACGAGTTCCTGTTTTTTGGCTGCAAGGCAGAGAACTTAACCATTGCACCACGTCATTGCAGCATACAGTCAGTGAGCTATTCAGTCAAACCGTGATTACTCACCAGCAACGTTCAAACTGTCTGCCATCTTGCTTCCTTCAGAAGTCTCCAGAAAGTTCATCTGTCCCAAATCGTTACCGGAAACAGGTGAGGAGCGATGCGGCGTCTTCCTGTCCCCCATGAGACCCTCTATGATGGCGGCACTGGAGGACGTGGGAGGACTTCCAGCAGAAACAGCCACAGCAGCAGCAGCGGCAGCAGCAGCAGACACCCTCGCCGAGTTCTCTTCTTGCAGAAGTCGCTGGTGGTGATGCCTCACCGAGCAGTCCAGGGCAGCCATCTGGTCGACCGGGCTCGGGTAGGAGAAGGGCGGGAAGGAAGCCCCTGGGAAGCCTGGGTGGTGTGGATGTGCAGGGTGGTGTGGGTGGAAGCCGGCACCCACCGCGGCCATTGAGCTCACAGCGGCGAATGCTCCTGGGTAGGCGGCAGCTAGCAGCCTCATGTCCCGTAGACTCATGATGTCCTGGTGGTGCTGAGGGGGCCCGAATGTTTAGCGGGTAGCGAGGTCAACCGACTACTTGAAGTCAAGGGGAAATTACGTCCGTGTCTCGTTAAAACTTCATTATTGTGTTTTTTGCATTTGGCAAGGAAAGAGTAATAAAGGGTAAACCTCTTCTTCCGCTTTATTGCCAGATTCTGTAGAAATATTGTCTGTGATCAGGGAATGCTTATGTCTCCTGGTTAGCAATGGTTGTTTCAAAGACAAGTGTAATATTCAACGCAATGTATGTGTGTAATTAAAATGGTCTCTGTTTTTATTTTGTTATTCTAATAAATATAATTCAGCACTTTTCTCCACGATGAAAGTACAGAAAAAGAAAGGCTATTGAGGTAACGCGTCGTCTTCTATTGCTTTATAACAAACTTTTGTAAAAATGTTTTTTCGTGTTTGTTTATTTTCCCTTTACAACAAGCCAGGTGCAACAACGACTGTCATTCATACTTTATCTAGCAGTAAAAACAACTGATAGTGTTCCCAAAAGAAGCCAGTCATGAAGCCAACACGCGTGGAAGTTACAGCTTTAGTTGCGTGTGAACGACTCCACGGACACAATAGTATTCCGGGTCCCTTCTGCACAGACGTCATGGGCAGCTAGATCTTCTTTCTCCCCAGACGTTCTCCGAAATGACCTCCCATTGAAGGAAAAACTGTGAACAAACCAACTCAAACACGCAAGGACAATTTTGATGAAATTTGGACAATACAGCTCTGTAATAAACGAGCGGTTTCCTCCCTGTGGCGGTTTTCGCGGTGACGGAGGACACGTCTACGATCAGCCAATCACAGAGCAGCTTATCGATTGCTAATGTGTGTGATCGCCCCGCCCACCCGCCATCGCTTTTGTGTTGGGCTGCTTCAAAGGGGATGTCACTCACTGAGGAAATCGCGTTAGCTTGACACAACGGGCGGGATATTGGTGACAGTTACTGATGCTAGCTTCATCTCTGGCTTGTCTTTTGCTCCCTCCTCCTTTTCCTCCTCCTCTCTCCTACCTCCCCTTCCCCTCTTCTCTTAAGTTCTTCACTTTACTGCTCGGATTTCGTTATCATCTTCCGTTCCTTCCCCCTCATCGCCAATATCCCTGAATATCAATTTGTTCTCATGTTCATGAATTACCCTCTCATGGGCATTTCATCGTGCTCGCCAGAATCAGAAATCCCCGATTTCTTACTAATTACGCCGCATCGTATAATCTGCAATCATCAATGCAGATAAAGGGACAGTTTGTATTGGGTTCTTATTTAAGAGTCTACTCCATCGTTTATCCATATTTCGAAGAGAAATCTTTCTATTCTTTTTTAAAATGAGTTCCACTTGGTTTTTATTTTCATTTACACGTTTAGCTTGCTGTTTCGTCTTTAGTTCTGTTGCAGAAATTTTTTTTTTTTAAATCAATCAATAAAATGCAGTTGCGGGCGCCATAAAACCCTATACTAAACTAAACTAAAGATGACTATAATATTAAAGTGATAATATTATAACGAATCTGTTCATCCATTCTTGGTTCAATAGGGGGAAAAATACTGATAAATCCCAAGAGCATATCTGCAACTAAACACACTCGTTATTACAATAAATAGAGTGTGAAATCTTAGACTATGTCATAATAGAAGCACTAGCTATACTGTATACATCTGATTTCATGATCGTTGTGTTTGGTTAAAATTAAAAGTGTACATCAACACTTTTGACAAAATGGCGACAGCTGAAATATGTTGAGAGCTTTTTATTAAAAAGTATATACACTAGAAGATTTCAATAAGATAATACTTCACCATCCTCAACCCTATCTATCTATCTATCTATCTATCTATCTATCTATCTATCTATCTATCTATCTATCTATCTATCTATCTATCTATCTATCTATCTATCTATCTATCTATCTATCTATCTATCTATCTATCTATCTATCTATCTATCTATCTATCTATCTATCTATCTATCTATCTATCTATCTATCTATCTATCTATCTATCTATCTATCTATCTATCTATCTATCTATCTAGCAATCGATCTATATCTAGCTATCTTGCATCCACACCCCCATATCTAGCTATCTTGCATCCACTCCCCCCTGCCTCTCTACCCCCCCCCTTCTCTCTCTCTCTCTCTCTCTCTCTCTCTCTCTCTCTCTCTCTCTCTCTCTCTCATTTCCACTACCTCTCCTTTCACCACTAGACTTTCCCGCTTTTGTGCTCCATGACAAATCATAATCTTAGGGGAATTGAATATCACACTGAGAAAAAACACCTCAAGATCAATTATCTTTTAAAAATAAAAACGAAAGAATGAACAACAAGAACGACACCCCCCAGGCCACACCTCGTTCTCCTAGCGGTCAGGACGGGCCAGATGTGACTTGCAGGGTATCGTTTGACCCAGTGAGACCTCCATTTCAGAACCTGTTCTATGCCCTCAGTGGCCTGGGACGGCTGGTTAGAGGGCGGGAAACTCCATCTTTCATTTCAACCCCAGAATTATCATATGTTGAAATCGGAAAATATATCTTTATAATTTTCGTTTTGCACTGTTTGCTTTTTTTTTAAAACATTGAAATGTATTTATTACTTCAAGCCCCAATAAGGCATTGTCTTTAATAGTACTGTTTCTTTTTCCTGTGGGTTTTATTTTTTAAATATTTAGTAATTACATCTTTCTACTGTTTCTGGGTTCAACACATTTTTCTATTTAAAGAAAGTGAACATAAAAGATATTATGCTTTATAGAAGAAAAATATTTTCAACCTTGAATACTAGATCTATTACTTATTTCTATTGATACTCCATAACTGTATTGACACGTGTATTGACATAATAATATAATGTGACCATAGAAAGGATTATCTTTCGTCAAAGAGGCAACACAAATAAGAAAAAAAAAACTGCCCAAGAAATCCAAGGTATCAATGCCTTTATATCTAGATAAAAACAATATTTATAAGCTTAAACGTAGATGTTTCATTTATCTGTTCAGATCCTTCTGAACTCTATGTCTACTATCAAGCATGATAGTATGGAAGATAAGGTTTTCAATTAAAAAATCAAACCCAACAACAAAATAAAACAAAAACAGAAAATGAACGAAAGAAACAAAACAGACCCAAACGATCTCAGCTCCCAAATTTATAACATATTTTTTTAACAGACTAATAACATTACAAGAAATATAATCGAATGGTTTCGTGTAAGAGTACAAAAGAAGAAAAAGAAAAAAAGAAGAGAAGAACAGAAAAGCGTTAGAAATAAAATATCTTCTTTGCAAAATGCATTGCTCCGAGATCGACAGAGAATGAATGATTCATTGGCACGACCAATCATTATTGCGTTGACACAATGAAAGTAGCTCGCAGGCATGAAAGCTCTTCGTTGACTGGCTTACCTAATCCCAACCAACACTGCCACGTGACACAGCTACATACGTCATCATAGACAATCGTTCTACGTTTCTTTCGGTGACGTCATCGCTTTATGCGTGGATTTACCTGACAAGGAAATGATGAACAAGCTATAATAGTGAGATGAGATGTGATCAGGAGATTTAATCTTTGTTGTACAACATTATCTTTTTTTTTGTTGCCAGATAAGGTTTGCTTGCTAATACATGTTTTCTTATTATCCTGATCAAGGGTACGTCTGGTGATTCGTGAACGTGAACAAGGAGAATTTAGTGGCAGTCTCTTTTATCTTTATCTTTGTTCTTTTATTTCAGCAAAGGAATATTTTGGGGATTTTTTCCCCCTCCCCATCCACAAACATGTCAATGGTAACTCTGGTACCTTACTTCCATCCCAGCTAATGTGTAAATACATGCTTTCACCATGAATTTCTTAGATTCGTGTTCTTTTTTTTCTCTTTTATTTTTTTGTATCTTTATCTCTCTCTGTCTGTCTTTCTTTCTTTCTTTCATTTTCTTTTTCTTTCTTTCTTTCTTTCATTTTCTTTTTCTTTCTTTCTTTCTTTCATTTTCTTTTTCTTTCTTTCTTTCTTTCATTTTCTTTTTCTTTCTTTCTTTCTTTCATTTTCTTTTTCTTTCTTTCTTTCTTTCTTTCTTTCTTTCTTTCTTTCTTTCTTTCTTTCTTTCTTTGGTTTTTAATTTTTTAAAGAATACGTAGGTGTTGGTTATCTTTCTTTCTTTCAGTCTTTCTTTCTTTCTTTCTTTCTTTCTTTTTTTCTTTCTCTCTTTCTCTCTTTCTTTCTTTCTCTCTTTCTTTCTTTCTTTCTTTTGCTTTTAATTTCTTTAGAATGTGTGGGTGTTGGGTATTATTACTTTTTTCACTGATGGATTCAATCAGATGTATTTTTAGGTCTGCATTGAAAACTATATAAACAAAAACTGTGACTTTTATACTTGAACCGAGGAGACAACATTAAAAAGGACAATTTCATAAAACAAATGATGTTGCAATATTTATTGTAGGAAACGATGAAATAGTTTTGACGCAAACTCAATGTACTCGTAGGTTAGCTGCGAAGTAAGCACTTTTCTGGTATGTTATAATCTCTAGTTTGCCAATCAGATAAAACGTCCTTTCTTTATTTTGTTTGATTCAATCTTGAACCGCAAGTAATATATTTTACAAGTTTTTTTTTCCTGTCCATTTGTGTTATTGGAGAGTGAGAGAGCGAGAGTGAGCGAGAAAGAGAGAGAGAGAGAGAGAGAGAGAGAGAGAGAGAGAGAGC